CCAAACACAAAATTTCTCATTTTGAAGAGTCTGTATTAATGAAATTTTATTGCATATTAAAATCTATAGGATATGATTTTCTGCCCTGAAATACAAAGAACTTTGATCTTCTCTATAGGATGTTTGATGGCATTAAAAATTGGTAGATTGATTTATTTATTATCTTTCTATTTATACAATCATTACTATTTATATAATACATATAAACGGGCTTATGTTTTTGTATAAACTGGCTTCTTTTCTAAAACTTTGATCTTTTTGTTTAAAAGATAAATCAAATTTCTTATAGAAAAAGTATGTTAAATGAGAGACTAGCAAAATATATCAGTAGAAAGAACACAGGATTTGGAAACAGGTAGAGCTGGGTTTGAATCCCAGTTCCTCTGTTTGCTAGCTGCCTGACAGTGGGCATGTGGTTTTACTTCTCAGCCTCTCCATTTCCTCATCTGTCAGATTGGAATGGTGCTACTTACCTCACATGTAAAATGCCTTCATAGTGCCCAGCAGATGAAAGCTCTTTTCCTTTTCTATAACAGTAAATTCACAGAGTAACTTATAGAAAGCTAATTCAAACATATTATTACATAAAATAATTTATATTGAGGTTTAATTATTGTTACAATACAGTTAATCAGAAAAAATAATTCCTTTCAAGTAAATGTAATGCTTGCTCATATCTCCTTTACCTGGAACAGGTGTAAGAATCAGGATCAGGGAGTAGGAAAAGGTTTTCAGAACAGTTAAAATAGGTGGCTTGGGGCCGGCCCCGTGGCTTAGCGGTTAAGTGCGCACGCTCCGCTACTGGCGTCCTGGGTTCGGATCCCAGGTGCGCACCGACACACCACTTCTCCAGCCATGCTGAGGCCGAGTCCCACATACAGCAACTAGAAGGATGTGCAGCTATCTACTGGGGCTTTGGGGGAAAAAAAGGAGGAGGATTGGCAATAGATGTTAGCTCAGAGCCGGTCTTCCTCAGCAAAAAGAGGAGGTAAAATAGGTGGCTTAAAGTCTGCACATTAAAAGGT